GTAAGGAGTACTGGCAGCTGGCAATGACCAGGCAGAACTGAAAGACCCAGATGTCTGTGAAGAAGCCGTGAACGAGCAGCACTGAACCCAAGAAGGCCACCAGGACGGCCAGCAGCACGGCGAGCACGTTCTCCAAGACCTCACGGTTCCTGAAACACAAAGGACACAAAGTCAAGGTCACACCAAGGTCACCGGGGTCGTCCAAATTGTACAAACTTTTAGTTATAACGTTTTAAAAACAGTACAATCTGAGTTATCTACCCGCACAGCTCTAGATCGTTTGCTCTGGTCTGAATCACCAGTTTGTTACATAATTACCTCGAGCTTGCTCTGTGTTCACACAGGGACGTTTACAAGAGGACTAGCCTGTGTGATGAGCGAGGAGAACGCTCTCTGATTGGATGGAATCAGGGAGCAGCTCGCTAAATCAAAGATTTAATGGTCTTAAACCGCCTTTAGCTTAGTGAAACGTTAGCTATGAACGATGATGAAGGCTCTCGCACCTGTCAAACAGAGCCAGCAGCGTGAGCCGGTCAAAGTGCAGGCCGACCCACAGGAAGGGGAGGAGCCACAGGCGGTAGTACTGCCGGGCTTTGCCGGCGGCGTTGGCGGCGGCGGGGTCCTCGTGTCCCAGCGGTGCGTCCTGGAGCTCCGGACTCAGATCTCCTTCGTGCTGCTCCAGCAGCTCCGGGTCCATCGTCAGCAGACGGTTCAGACGGATCTGAGGGAGGGAGATCTGTCCACCGGTCAGGCAAGACGTTTACATCAACAACTACACAGAACCACCTGGAACACACGCACTCACAGCCACCGGGGTCATGATGAGCAGATGATCAAACACACCTCTCTTCAGCTTCACATTCACACTCCTGAACAGATCTGGATCACTTCAGGAGGACGGCTGCAGAAATCCTCCTGACCTGTTCACACATGCGCCTCACAGAAACCTTTGGTGATGCTGCTTTCAGCTTTGACGCCGAGACTGTGGAACGACCTTCCTGAGAGGAGCCGAGAATCTGCAAACTTAAACCTCTTACCTCCAGCAAGTATTTTTACATTCAGTTGACAAGCCTGAATAAATGTTGTATTTCGTTTTCTTTTTAAACCAGTAAGAATGTTAAGTTAAATCCTTAATGTATAAATCTATTCCTATTTTTTTAGATTTTAAATTCTTATTATGTATCTATTCTTATATTGTTTTATTTGCTTTGATAACCTGCTGCTGTAACAATGTCCCAGTTTGGGATCAATAAAGTTATTCTATTCTATTCTATTCTATATTGAGATTTTTTAAACGCAGTCTTAAAACTCATTTATTCAGTCTGGCTTTTATATAAATTCAAATCTTAACATTATTGTTTTGTCTTTTTTACCCTACTACAATTTTAAATATTCTTCTCCTATGTATTAAATGTAATATTTTATTGCTTTTATGTGTCGTATTTTATTTTTATATATATATTTTTAATTCTTATTGGTGTGCATTAGTCTCTCAATGATTTTCTAAACTACTTTTTAGTCAATAACTTTTCTGCACTGTTGTAAAGCACTGAACTGAAATTTAATTTGTCTAAAAGGTGCTGTATAAATAAAGTTTGATTGAAGATGGGAAGATTAGAGACCGGCAGCTAAAACACCAAGGGAATAGTTTGAACACAAAGTCAAAAATAATCTGCAGAAATATTCAAAACCCAGATCTGCAGAGGGGAATACACACTGTTTGTTTTTGTGTCAGTTTGTCTTTCTGTGATTCTCTGCAGGCTGTGCACTCTCTCTCTCTCTCATGGCCTCGCTCTATTAAACACACACACACACACACACACAGCTCACTGGTTCTGTACTCACCAGGTCATGAGGGTAGAAGCGAACTGAGGTAGAACTGGAGAGGTGGGAGTCGGTGTCCCTGCAGGGCATTAGACACACAAAGCGTGCTGATGAGACAAAAGCAGCCGCTGCACTATCTCTCTTAAATCATGATTCATTTCACCGTGACCTCCAAGCAAACAGCCAATCAGCTTCCTGCTTTGCTTTGTACTGTCATGTTTTTGTTGTTTTGTTTGTCACACCGTGTAAAGACATGTTGACCTTGACTCGTTCTCTTCACAGATTACTTTACATTTTAAATCAGAGGGTGAGTGTCAGTCTGTCACTCACCACACGTTGTTGGAGGCTCGTCTGGTTGCAGGTTCAAAATTGACCAGCGACATGTCACACCCGCCGGCCTCGTACAAGGACGGTGTGAGCTTTCCTGGAAAAAACAAGAGAGAGAGAGAGAGAGGGAGGGAGAGAGAGAAGGGAAGTTAGATCACAAATAAACAAGCAAAGAGCGACTCTGAGTGGAAAAGAAAATGATCTCACATGCAGAGAATCAAACTCAAAATGTTTATCTGAGCTAACGGGATCAATGAGGAGGTTTTAGTAAACTGCTCGTCAGGTTGTTCCTGATGTGTTGTTGTCAAGTCCCCTCCTGAGGGTCTCGACCCGACAAAAACCAAACGGTACCATCAGCCTCTGCCTAGATCCTACCCACAAGCCACCAGCAGTTGACCTTTAACCCCAAAACCCTGACTGCAGCTCCCTTACCTGACACCATAAACATCACACCCCAACATTAAAACACACATCAACACATTCATAGATGAAATCTCACACACACCCCGTACACATGCACACACACACTGATGATGAAGCAGAGGGAGTGACTCGGGGTTCAGTGTCTCGCCCGAGGACTCATCGGTCATGTGGCAGCAGGAGCTGGGGATCAAACCGCCAGGGAGGCAAGTCGACCGACTCAACCACTGAGCCACAGCGCCCTGATGTCTCTGCATGTTGAAGTTTAACCCCGTCCATGTCTCAGTTCTCCTATTCTGTTAGGTTTGCATCCTCTAGCTCTCAAACTGTTTTCACATTAGGACAATAAAAACCATAAAAAAGCATCCTGTGCTGAGGTCAGAAGGAGGACTATAAACCGTCTCCAAGAAGCGTAACAACGTTTACAAAGTTTAACATCAATAGAGGAGGATGCAAACATCGAGAGAAGCTCCCAGTGAGGGATGAAGATGAGAGCTTCTTGTCTTCTCAAACCGATGTGTTCATGAGCGTTTAGAGATCCTGAAGTGATTCCTGAATCATTGCAGTCTCTCTAAGAGGGGGGATAATGAGCGGTTGCCATGGTAACAGTGTTCCCAGCGCAGTTACATTAAACCCCAAACCTCTACGACATTACTGGGTTTTTTGTTGTCAGAAAAACAGCCGAGATGACGAGAAACGAGCCGCTGAACAATTAGACATCTGTCTGTGAGCGGTTTACCTTTTTAATCTATAATAACTATTAAAATAAATATAATAAAAAGTTAGATATGAAATGTTTATATGGAGGTTTCGACGTCTCGCTCACTCCTTCCCCGTCAGTCATTTTTCCAGATTTTCATTTCTGGGATCGATGGTGGAACAGGAAGTGAACGTTCAGGAACGCCTCACAGCACAGAAATCTCTCCTTAAGGACATGACCCCACTCCAAAGTGTACAAAGCAAGAAATCCTCGACAGGACTGAGAAGGGAAATCTTTTCTTTAGATGTTTTCTGAAGTTTGAAGGAGAATTATTTTTTTACATCTTTATAAATTATTTAGTAACACACAAATGTTTATGGTCTGCAGACTGAAGATGTGAAACTCTCAGTAACGGTCACAAAGTGAAAGAAACGGTCCAATCAGTGAGCTGTGTGGAGAGTGAGATGATAAAGGTATCTTACTCTCTGATCATTAAGGAAACATGCTATGTTGAAGTGCTGGCTTCTCTGACAACAATGCAGCAGCCAGTATGTCCTCCTTCTAACTTTACATTCTGCTCCTGAATGCTCTGGATTTGTTTGATTCTGATATCGTCAATCAGGCGATGTTTGCCGTTTGGATCTGAGCTCTAAGTGAGACAGCGTTAAAAACAAAGAAGTCTTGCACAGATCGGGCAGAGTTACTAACCAACAGTGTGAGATGACGAGCACAGAGCCTCACATCACAGAGTGTCTCATCAGTGCATGGCGCTCTGGGTCACATTATGAGCTGGAGCAGTAATCCATTTAGCGCTGCTTCAGAGGAAGGACACGAGACAGCCCTTACACAACCTCTGTCTCTCTTTACCATCATTACCGTCCATCAGGGGAAACATGTTTACGTACACAGACATCAGCAGCAGCAGCCCCACCAGGTCAAGTGCTGGCTACAGACTAAATATCACAGAGAGAAATGGAGCGTGAATAACGGCGCTCGGCTTGACTGATTGCGTCAGTTCAGCGAGCGTGGATAATGCTGCTCCGCTGAAATCATATCTGTGGCTCGCTCTTTTTCAAGCAACCCCAAAGCATCAAAGGCAGCGCACAGCGGCGGTCCAAACAAGAATTCAAAAAGCAACCGCAGCACAAACATGACACATCCACCTCCTGAAACACTGCACACCGACTCCCCTCCATCATCTGAACCCCCTCTCCTCCTGCGCTCCCTACCGAAGTCGTCCTGCAGGCTGGTAGCGCCCACAGTCGAGGCCTTGTCCTGAGAACCCTCCAGGTGTGTGCTTCCATTCCTGGCCAGCAGGGAGGCGCTTGTGCTCAGCACGGTCACCTGGGACGGGGTTCTGGAGGGCTGACTTTTCACCTGGGAAGAAGAAGGCTGGGAGGCCTGGCTGAGAGCCTCCTGAAGACTGTGGGAGGAGAGGGGGGAGAAGGTGAGGAGGTGAGAAGAGATCGAGGCCGAAGGGGGAGGGGTCTGCTGAAAACAACAATATCACAGGGGGGAGGGGGGCAGGTGATCTCACAGCAGAGAGGTTAAAGATGATGCACATGCTGGTTGTCATGGTGGTGTCAGAAGGAAAGGCTTTGTAGTTTCTTTTTTAAAAATACTTATTATTCTCCCAGTGTGTTTACAGTCGAGCAGAAATGTTTTGTGGGCGGAGCCAACCGGTGGCAGAAAGGTAGGTGGTCTACACAATCGTTAAGTATTTTAAAAAGTCTCCTTTTAAAGTGACGCAAACATCCGGTTGGTGGCGCTTCCCGGGCCGCTCGTTCTGATTGGCTGCTGCAGGTATTCTGTCGGAGACAGCCCGACCTGGACATGTTTGATGTTTATGATTCCAGAACGGAGCGGTGAAATAATCAAGTTGACAAACTGGAGGATTGTCTGGACAGATAATCCTCAAAGCGACCTCGCTCTCCTTCTTCTGATTTATATAACGCTCCTCTGAGGTTCTGCTGAAGGTGCAAGCGGACGTAAATATACCTGACGATCATAAAGTGATGTTCACTACAGAGCATCCTCGACACAAGGAATCAATTTGAAATATTTCTTCATATTTTACTTCAAAGTGAAGCTTCATACTTTACGAGCGTCAGAGTTCTGCAGGAGTTTATTCTCAGAGATGTTAAAGAGCTCAAAGTGAAAGCATGAATCATTTAGTCTCCATACAGAGAGGGAAATGTGTGTGTGAATAAGTTCCCTGCATCACCAACAAGACAACAACAGAGTGTGGGGTGAAGGGACGGCGGAGGGGAGGGGGGAGGAGGCAAGGAGGGAGGATGGAGGGGGGAGGAGGCGAGGAGGGAGGGACTTGTGGAAGTTTTGGAGTTGTGCACGATTATTGAGCCCTGGCAGGTTGCACGCTTGTTTTTCTTGCTAAACATTTTGAAGGCTCAGCATTTAGAAATGTGACCTTGATAGAAAGACGCGAGAGATGTGACACGGGGGGGGGGGCTGATCCTGCATCCTTAATACAAAATATCTGTTAATGTGTCAGCTCTAAATGTAAAGGTGTAGAGCTCTAAATGTAAAGGTGCAGAACTCTAAATGTAAAGGTGCAGGAAGCTGAGCTCTAAATGTAAAGGTGCAGGAAGCAGAGCTCTAAATGTAAAGGTGCAGGAAGCTGAGCTCTAAATGTAAAGGTGCAGGAAGCAGAGCTCTAAATGTAAAGGTGCAGGAAGCTGAGCTCTAAATGTAAAGGTGCAGGAAGTAGAGCTCGAAATGTAAAGGTGCAGAGCTCGAAATGTAAAGGTGCTGAGCTCTAAATGTAAAGGTGCAGGAAGCAGAGCTCTAAATGTAAAGGTGCAGGAAGCAGAACTCTAAATATAAAGGTGCTGAGCTCTAAATGTAAAGGTGCAGGAAGCAGAGCTCTAAATATAAAGGTGCTGAGCTCTAAATGTAAAGGTGCAGGAAGCAGAGCTCTAAATGTAAAGGTGCAGGAAGCGGAGCTCTAAATATAAAGGTGCTGAGCTCTAAATGTAAAGGTGCAGGAAGCAGAGCTCTAAATGTAAAGGTGCAGAGCTCTGAATGTAAAGGTGCAGGAAGCAGAGCTCTAAATGTAAAGGTGCAGGAAGCAGAGCTCTAAATGTAAAGGTGCAGGAAGCAGAACTCAAAATGTAAAGGTGCAGAGCTCGAAATGTAAAGGTGCTGAGCTCTAAATGTAAAGGTACAGAGCTCTAAATGTAAAGGTGCAGGAAGCAGAGCTCTAAATGTAAAGGTGCTGAGCTCTAAATGTATAGGTGCAGGAAGCTGATCTCTAAATGTAAAGGTGCAGGAAGCAGAGCTCTAAATGTAAAGATGCAGAGCTCTAAATGTAAAGGTGCAGGAAGCAGAGCTCTGAATGTAAAGGTGCAGGAAGCAGAGCTCTAAATGTAAAGGTGCAGGAAGCAGAGCTCTGAATGTAAAGGTACAGGAAGCAGAGCTCTGAATGTAAAGGTACAGGAAGCAGAGCTCTGAATGTAAAGGTGCAGGAAGCAGAGCTCTGAATGTAAAGGTGCAGAGCTCTACATGTAAAGGTGCAGGAAGCAGAGCTCTGAATGTAAAGGTGCAGGAAGCTGAGCTCTAAATGTAAAGGTGCAGGAAGCAGAGCTCTGAATGTAAAGGTGCAGGAAGCAGAGCTCTGAATGTAAAGGTGCAGAGCTCTACATGTAAAGGTGCAGGAAGCAGAACTCTGAATGTAAAGGTGCAGGAAGCTGAGCTCTAAATGTAAAGGTGCAGGAAGCTGAGCTCTAAATGTAAAGGTGCAGGAAGCAGAGCTCTAAATGTAAAGGTGCAGGAAGCTGAGCTCTAAATGTAAAGGTGCAGGAAGCTGAGCTCTAAATGTAAAGGTGCAGGAAGCAGAGCTCTAAATATAAAGGTGCTGAGCTCTGAATGTAAAGGTGCAGGAAGCAGAGCTCTGAATGTAAAGTTGCAGGAAGCAGAGCTCTGAATGTAAAGGTGCAGGAAGCAGAGCTCTAAATATAAAGGTGCTGAGCTCTGAATGTAAAGGTGCTGAGCTCTGAATGTAAAGGTGCAGGAAGCTGAGCTCTGAATGTAAAGGTGCTGAGCTCTGAATGTAAAGGTGCAGGAAGCAGAGTTCTAAATATAAAGGTGCTGAGCTCTAAATGTAAAGGTGCAGGAAGCAGAGCTCTAAACGTAAAGGTGCAGAGCTCTGAATGTAAAGGTGCAGGAAGCAGAGCTCTAAATGTAAAGGTGCAGAGCTCTGAATGTAAAGGTGCAGGAAGCTGAGCTCTGAATATAAAGGTGCTGAGCTCTAAATGTAAAGGTGCAGGAAGCAGAGCTCTAAATGTAAAGGTGCTGAGCTCTAAATGTAAAGGTGCAGAGCTCTGAATGTAAAGGTGCAGGAAGCAGAGCTCTAAATATAAAGGTGCAAGAAGCTGAGCTCTAAATGTAAAGGTGCAGGAAGCAGAGCTCTAATGAGCAGTTTGGACTCTTGACAGTGAAAAATAAAAACAGGATGTTCCTGTGAAGTCACACTTTGATTTGTTTTAACGATCAGTATCGTCTTCGTCTCTTCTGAGAAAGGTCGCTCAAAAGGGCAAAGCCACGTGATACAGCAGGCTGTCTGTGTTATTGAGCGAATCATGTGCCGCTCTGAGAGGAGGCGGCGTGTCAGAGCGTGTGCCTTTGGGTTTGTGAGGACTCCATTCTTTGATCAGAGCTCAAAACGTGGAACTGTAGAGATCAGATGGCGTGATAGCGGGATGAAAGGAGGGAAGTCTGGAGAGAAAGGAGGACGAGAGACATCACATGCAGAGTGGAGACGCCGGGCGCCTCGTTAGACGTCATGCAGAAAGACGAGAAGATAGGGGACGCCACCTGGCAGCATGCTCACGCCAGGCGGCACGAGCACAGACACGAGCCCCTGCTCCATGCACGGCGTACCTGAGAGGAGATCCAATCAGAGAGGTGGGCGGGGTGGGGTTACTGCCAGCGTTGTGTCGCCGCCGCACCGCCTGCCGACGAAACGTGCTACGCTCACGCCGAAATATGACCGTCTCCTCGCTCCCCGGCGCTGTCATGGGGAGAGAGACAGCATCGGCCAATCAGAGAGGATGTGGTTACACAAGATGAATCAGCGACATTTCAAACAAACAAAATCTCAGAATCAAATCAAACTGAATAACAAACATGGAGGCTGACGACCGACTGATCTCATGGCGTCGAGCTCCAACCTGCAGCACGTCATCAACACGCCTCAAACACCCGAGAGAAACAACAACACTGACACGAGCTTAAAGAAACGTAGAGCCTGCTGACGAGCCATCTCGTGACACTTCAAACTCAGACGCACTTTGCAACAACGGTAACAAGAAATCTTTAAAACAGGAAATAATCAGAATCTCAGAGAGGCAAACACAGCAGGACACACACGCACGCAAGCTAGCACGCAGGCTAGCACGCAGGCTAGCACGATGATGTAAGTCCTGCCTTTGGGAAGCTGCTTTAGAGAAACAAATTGCAGCAAATATTATCATGTTTGAGGCTGTATTCATTAGACCAGACCTTAAAATCCTTACACGCACGCACGTCTTACCCGGAATACATGGCGCGGCTACACTAACCTCTTGGCTACTCGCCCAAAGTTTAGTCTTTTCAAAGTATTTTTGTCCTCAGCATCAACTTGTTGCTTAAAGGTCCAATCAGTGAGCTGTGTAGAGAGTGAGATGATAAAGGTATCTTACTCTCTGATCATTAAAGGTCCAATCAGTGAGCTGTGTAGAGAGTGAGATGATAAAGGTATCTTACTCTCTGATCATTAAGGAAACATGCTATGTTGAAGTGCTGGCTTCTCTGACAACAATGCAGCAGCCAGTATGTCCTCCTTCTAACTTTAGATTCTGCTCCTGAATGCTCTGGATTTGTTTGGACCAGAGAAGGTAGGCGCTTTTAAGACACGCCCCCACACGGCCGTTTTGGACGCCCCTCGGTTTGTCAGATATGAGAGCAGCACCCAGTATGGAGCAACAATTGGTTTTTATTCCCAAAACTCCTGAAGACTGGAGGGGAAGTCTGCCTTCTATACATGTTCTGTGTTTCACTTCTTTCAAAGAGAGACTCATTAAAATATACAACGACTTCCTGTGAGTGTGAAGACTGTGCTGCAGCCTCGGTGTGTGTGACACTAATCAGAGAGCTGCTGTTTGTGTGACCTCAACGCACGCACGCACGCACGCACGCACACACACACGCACACACACACACACATCGCTGGATTATAAAAATAAGTTTTTAAACAGAAAGACAAAAGTACCAAACTCTCTCTGCTAGAAGAGCTGAAGCTTTCTGGAGAGTTTTTCAATACTCAGATCAGTCGCAAATAAATACAAATGAATAAAAATAACTGAAAAACTGTAACCTCCACCATAACTCATTATTTATTAAACCTGCAATATAATAATAATAATGAATAATATGTTAATGATAACAAAGTGCAATATACAACCAGTACAATAATCTTGATAATGTGTGGATATATTCCATCTGACTCTATTACTGAAACCTTACTTATACTCCTATTCTATTTGATTAATATTTTTATTATTATATTTCTACTGCTATATGTTGTGTTTTGGAGCAACTGTAACAATCAAATTTCCCTCTGGGATTAATGAAGTATTTCTGATTCTGAAAAAAAATAACAGAGTGATTCAAAACACATAATAAATAAACATCTGATAAACATCAGAACAGTCGTAGAGCAGGGAGCATGCTCTTTGTGTTCGGTGTGTCAGAGATGTGTGTGTGCTACGTACCCCGCAGAGAAGCTGAATCCTGAGGCTCAGAGAAAGCCGCCTGGTTGGGCAGACTGTTCCTGGAGCGGGTCACTGACTCCAGCTGGGAGGCCCGACCCAGCAGGGAGGCCGCGTCCAGGACTTCCCCTTCTTTGGCTTCCAGGTCCGACTTGGAGGTGGTGAGGGCCCGAGGCCCGGCGGGCGCTCCGAGGCGGCCGGGGTCATTAAGGCAGGCGGCCGTCCCGCTGTCCAGACTCAACACCCGGGCGTGTGTTTTGGCGCTGCCCGTGCTGGGAGTCCTCCGAGAGGTGCGCCGCTTCCCTCTGGTTTGCACGCCTGCCTCGGATCCCGCGGCGGCTTTGACTGCGGAGGAGGACGAGGAGGCTGCGGTGTGCTTCCCCTTCAGGGTCCTGTAGTACCCCCCCTCGGGGGAGTGGCAGGAGCGCGAGGTGTTGCTGGAGGAGCTGTCTGTGCTCAGGTGGTGGGCGGAGTGAAGACTGGAGGCACAGCTGAGCTCGCTCTGATCGCTGGAGTCCTCCTCCCCGCCCCCGGTGAACACCGCGCTACAAGGCTTAGCCATGCCACGCAGAGACATGTAGTCCCGGTGCCGGCTGGCGTCGAAGCTGCTCGCTCTTTTCTTGCCCGTCCGCCGGCGAGCGCTGCGCCCCGCGGACAAAGAAGAAGTCCTCTGAACGATGCTGTCTGACTTTGGTTTAGAGTCATCTCTCACCTGCTCCGGCTCTGTGGCCGCTACACCCGCTGAGCCATCAGCACTGGTCCTGATACCGGGCTCCTCCTGACCCCGACCAGGCTCCACCTGCTCCTGGACCGCGGGCGCCGTCTGTGTTTCAGCAGGCGGTTTAGCAGTCAGCTCGTTAGCGTGCGGGTTTTTATTGGCCTCCCTGGACGGGAGGTTACTGAGACCCCGAGAGCTGATACTGCCCAGGCTCACAGTCCTGTTGTCTGCAGGAGCGGAGGCGGCCTCTCCTCTGTCCCGCACGCGCTCGTCCCCTGAAAGAGAGAGCAGACTCTCCACGTGGGTGGAGCTCGTCTGCTCGCTGTGGAAGCTGCTGACCGTGCTGTTGGTGTCTCTGTCTGTGCCGCTGCAGTAGCTCTCAGTGGAGCCGCTGCTGCGAGTACTCAGACTCCTCAGGCTGTCCGCACTGCGCTCCCCTCCCTGGGACTTCCCTCCCCCACCCGGGCCTCTCCCACCACCACCGCCCCCCTCTACCTGATACAGTCCTGAGCTGCCCTCCCCGGCCTCCCTGGAGGCGGAGCGGGCCACCCTGCGCGGCTCCTTGTGCCGATAACACTCGATCCCCGAGGTGGAGGGCACAGCTGGATCCTGCTGGTGCAGCCGCTCCGCCCCCTCTCTCCCACACAGACCCGGCCGCTGAGGTTTGGCGGCCTCCAGCTCGCACACGGGGTCCAGGCCGCCTCTCCTGGGCGGAGGGTACAAAGCAAAGTCAGGTAGACACGGGTCGGGGAAGGCGGACCCCGCGGAGCTGGAGGTCCGAGGGAGACCCCGAGACCGGAGCTCCTTCCTGAAGGTCTGAGACTGCAGGGACCCGTGGGAGGTGAGCTCGGCGTCGCAGGACGAGTGCGACAGGCTGAAGTGATAAGCAGCAGAGTTACAAAGATCAGCCGGCTCCCTCGACAGCTCCGACGGACACAGGGAGGTGGAAGGTTGCAAGGAGGCGAAGGAGTCATTGGGAACAAGGCAGTACATCTTAGTGTCTGACAGCAGATCTGTGACGAGACAAAGGAAATAAATACAATCACACTCTAAGATGGCACGGCCGGTTGCTCTGCTGAGGCTGTGTGTTTTTCTCTTTATTTATGTTGTTTTTGTACATTATTCTACATTTTGTATATTCAAATATTTGTTATTTTACATTATATTTCTATATTACTGTATTTATGTATTTTAGTAATTTGAGTATTTGTTGCCTGGCCTTGTGGAACAGTCGTTACATTTCACTGCACATCTGTATGAGCATGTGACAAATACAAATCTTGAACACTTGTTTGTGAATGCTGATGTTGTTCCTGTTTACCGTGATCATGGCTGCAGCTCTCCACAAGAGTCAAACTGAGGTCATCTGACATCTTCCCCACGTCGCCTGCAGAGAGGGGAAGCAATCGAGAGGCGACATGTTGAATTCATTATTAATGCTGCAATGTTTCTTTGGTGTTTACAAACAGCCTCAAATAGCAGAGATGGCTACCTGCTGTCTTTCTGATGTTAGTGTGTGAACACACACACACACACACACACACACACACACACACACACACACACACACACACACACACACACACACACACACACACACACACACACACACACACACACACACACACACACACACACACACACACACACACACACACACACACACACACACACACACACACACACACACACACACACACACACACACACACACACACACACACACACACACACACACACACAC